AGGCGGCAGCACCTGGAAGGGTTGAATTCCCAGTGCGCCAGGCTTTTGGGGAATCTTGAATGCTGACCACTTGGGAGGAAGTCATGTTGGTTTAGATGCCGATAGCATACAAGGCCCCTACAAGTTCTGTTTCTACACTTAATTCTCAACTGTGCCATGAATTTCCATCCTAAAATTCTATCCCAGGTAATTGTGAATGGATGGGTTCTACCTTGCCCTGCACTCTCTCCTGGCAGTAACTTCTCTAATGCTGATACCAGCTGGTTGCTGGCAATGATGAATTGCTGTAATATCTCTTCAACTGTTTAAGCTGTTATTGGCCTGTGGGATGGGTCAGTATTGAGAAGTGAGACTTCCATGGCATTCTCAGATGTCACAGAATGATGCTGATAGGTGAACTTTTTCCCCCTCTCAGTCACTATTGAATCAAAGTCTCAGCATGGGTTTAGTGCTGCTGGAGGTGTCGGTTTACAAATGATGTAAAACCAGAGTCCTGACCAGTTGCAGATATTGGGATCCAATGGTACTTTTCACAAGAATAGTGGGATTCACCTGAGCATCGTGGCCAATTTCCTACTTGGAAATTACATTCTGTTCCAGAAATTCCCTTTCTGTTCTAAAGGACAATGATAGTCATCACTGATTATTGCTTTGCTTTGTGTTGAACAGCTGCTACATTGCAAGGCAGAGGTGGCTACATTTTACTGGTGGATGAAGTGACCCCTTCTCTATCCTTAGTTATTACAACAATGGGTGCTGTACAAAATCTTGACAAAGATGGACAGACAGAGAGATCGGAATCACTCCCTGTTGTGTATGAAAAAAAAAATCAAAGTCTAAAGGGAAACTAGTAAAATAACCACAGTGTTAATTAAGAGAGATGAATTCAAATTACCAAATCAAGATGGAGTTTCCATCAGTGCTTCACAAGAACTCCACACACCCCATTCTCCTGTAGGATACTCCAAGATAACACTCAGTCAGTGAAGCACAAGACCCAGAGAAAGTGATGAGTGGCTCTGTGCAATTCAGAGTGACGTGTTTTTAAGGAGCTATCTGCACCTTTGCAAAGTGAGTAGAGTCACTTTAAAGGTAGTTGGGAGCTTTGCCATTTTACGTCTCCTGAAGATGTGGCCTCTTGTTTCTGACAAAAGGACAGCTTTGTGAGATTAGACAGAGCTTTGAGCAAAGTATGCCAAACCTGCACTAATACTGTTGAAATTGGGGTTGCCAACTCTCCCAGATTGTCCTGGTATCTCCAGGAATTAAAGATTAATCTTTAATTAAAGATCATGTCATGTGATAAAACCTCCAGGAATACATCCAACCAAAATTGGCAACCCTAGAAACTTGAAATGTGTACCTTTAAAAACCAAACCAACCATGAAAATTTGCTTTTTAAACAGGATTTCTTTAAGGGACTGCAATCCGATAGTGCAGGCAATTGTGGTAGGTCACCTAAATCCTGAAACACTGTAGGTAAAACAATAGCAAAAATCAAGAGATGCCTTACAGCTCTTATCAGGCTCATGAAATAAAAGTAAAGGATCTGAAGCAACGGTCAGCACTTCAAGTATGATACCCTCCTGCACTGCCAGTGTACGGCAGAGGAATTGGAAATCTGTGTTTTTAGATGTTTCTTTCCCAGACATTAGGGTTCAGAACCTAAGGAGTCCCCAGGGTAAATATAAGAAGGAACACTGTGACCCACCTAATGGTGGTCCATAGAACTGCTCTATAGTCCTCCAATAACTGTTGCCCAAATAGGAGTGCTAATGGTTTTTGAAGGAAAGTTGACTTCTGTATTATTTCTTTTAACAAGTTCCAGAATAGGTTCCAGAACCTTTGAGGGCTTGGGGTGGAGGATATGAGCAGTCATCTTAAAGGCTGACCAGTTCCCCATAATAAGTCTATTCTCCTTACACCGCATATGATGTTGAATCTAAACAAAGCAAGGTCATCTGGAACCCAAGACAGAAGAACTAAGGTTGATTTTGTTAATAAAAAGTGGCTCATAAGGAAACTTTTTACCAGTGACCCTCTTTTAATACAGAACAGGGCACTGAGACCAAATGGATCCTTCCCTGTAATGTGCACTTGAACACAGCTCCACAAAACACTATTATTAACATAAACCCCAAACCGTTTAGGGGTTTTGTCCACTTGAGGGACTGCCTTTCCCCTGGTGTGGCTGATGTAGTCTCGCTGGAGCCCCAGTGGTTTTAAGAGTGAAGGAGATAGCTAGCTAGGGCATTTTCCTTGGGGAGTCCTCAATTTTGGAACTTCCTCCCCACCTTAGTTCCAAAACAATCCTAATCTATTGACCTCCAAAGCATGCTGTGAGGCCCATCTATTTACCAATCCTATTGTAGTGAGAGGCATGATAAGAATTGGCATTTGTGAGTCCAGGGGCATTGGCTGGGTATGGTTTCATCTCTGGCTGGTATTGTCTGGTTTTGTGGTTAGAAGAAACTGCTTTATCTAGTGGTAGTTTGTTGGGGGGGGGGCTTAATTAGGCTAAGGTGCTTGAGATAGATGCTTCTGAAATAATTCTCTATACATCTAAATAAATATGTTGGGTTTATTACTAAAACCACTCTTTACAAAATCAGGCATGGAACAGAGTTGGTTGCGGATCTGAAGGGCCAATACATTCCAATAAATACTGATGTTTAGTACTTTCTTGAGTGCAAAGCTTCTCATCTAATTATTGTGCATGGAATCTAAAAGGTGAATGCTTCAGGTCAAAACTTTGCAGTCTACAGCCTTTGGGTGCTGGCTAATTAATGGACCCATATCTATGTATCGCTGACCTTGATTATCTCCTCTTTGATTATTCCTTTAGGTATCTATATAAAATTCCAATGACAATACGTGATTAATTTTCCACAAATAACAATAGTTTACACATCACCTGAACTCCCTTAGACTTCTGCATAAGTGAATCCTTCTAGATTTATGGATGTGTTTATGTAAAGGTTAAACTAGAGCAGATAAAACATATGACTGATATTAATTTGCTTATCCATTTAATTCAGTGTACCCATTGAGTCAGATAGTGACAACTGAATGTACTAACTGTGGGCCTTATCCCACATCCACTGAAGACAATGAAAGCCTTTCCATTGACTTCAAAGGGAGTTGGGTCGGTTTCTACATTTGACCTTTTTTTCTGCTGAAGGTATGACATAAATTTACAGAAAAGTAACATGTTTTTATGTTTACTGCTCTGTACGAAGTAATACACCTGATATGTTCTGCAAATCATGTTTGAAACAAAACAAAGAATGGTAGTATTAGTATGTATTTGTTTTAACAAATATAAGTTGTTTCTTCATAGTACTAAAACCTGATCTTAAGCAAATGTTGGACGGTCAGACTGGCATTTTGTGCCAGTTCAGCCCATTTTTAAGCAACCAATTAATTTTGATCAAGTTTGCTTGTTTTAGAATGTCCTAATTGTTCTAAAATGTTGTTTATATGACACACACAAAATGCTCTGACTGCAACACTCAGACTGACTGTGCAAATCCATGTTTTTGTCTTACAGGACTTGATCATCTTCATCTATGAGAGTGTGCTTTGGCAGTCACAGCCTAGAGGGCAGCTTTATTGTGTGTCCTACAGTCTGTCACTTACTCCTGCTTATTGTTCAACAAGGATCTTTTTGAAGTGCCTCACTCAGTGAACCACTTGCTCCAGAATGACTTCACCAGCATGTCTGTGTGTTGTTGGGCCTGATGAATCATCTAACTGCAATGCACTCCCAACAGGAGTTTAGGACATATCTCCGTGAGTGCGAGGAACCCTAAAATAGCTCCATCTTTAACTACAGTTTGGAAAGAACATATTCTATTGATTAGCTTCTTTTCTCTAAAATTAAAAAGAGGGTTGGTTACTAAATCTGGGTTTGCAAAAGATTTGCCAAAATATTCTTTCAGGATTGGCTTTGGCCCAATAGCAACATGGGTAGCTCATTATCACCTTCCTTCTTGCTGAGAGCAAGAGCAAAATTAAGACTCATTTTGGGTCCTCTAACCCTGGCAATGTCAATTGATAGGATTGTTGACAAGATGAAACTTTAATCTCCCACAGGAGGGAGAAGTGAAAATTATGTCTTGTTTCTAAATACCCCTTGCACTGCTGGGTGGCTTCCAGCCAACCTACTTTATATGTATTTTCAGGTGTAGAACCACCATGTAGCTGTGACTTCGATGTCTTGTATGGGAGACTGACAGGATGTAGTTGTAAAGAAATTAGCCTAGAATTAAAGTGTGTAAAAACCCATTCTCTCTCTTTTGGCATAAAGCTCAGCAGGTGAAGTATGGGAAAGCCTATGGCCAGATGTCTACAGCTCCACCAGCACCTCAACAAATTAAGTCTCATGCCAAAACATAGAAAAACATTTGAGAAGCCACAGTTCCAAAGATCCATCACCATTTCACTGGGGTGGTGGATGATATTAAAATGGTCTTTATGTAAGTGGAGAGTATAAACAAAGGAGGAGAAGGATTTTTATGATGGCACAAGGGGAATAAAACTAGGAATAACTGAATAAAATTAAGACAAGGAAAACTTAAGATGAGAATCAGCAAAGACTTCTAATGGGTGGAATCTATTTATGCTGTTGCATATACTTTCTAAGGAAAGGATGGAAGCTGTTTTGCCAGGGACACTTAATACAGACTGAATAGACCAATAAAAAATACAGTGTAAGGAAAAGTCTCACCCTTTGAGGAGATGAGCTAGGAGATATATTATATTATTAATCTTAATATTATTAATCTTTATTTAACCCTAAGGTTCTGTTACCAATTCCTCTGTTCAGTGTTTGTAAGGTGGCTGTAACAAATTGTTTTGGTAATATGAGAGCAGACTCTCACCACGTTCATTTCCTCACTCCCATGGAAGATTTTTCTATTGTTTTGATTTCCAAGACATCTTTTAACTGGGTCTCAAGCAATAAGCCAGAGAATGGCTAAACAAGCAGTCTGATATATTTATTTTTTCTTTGATCAAATAAATCATTTGGTGAACACTTTTAGCTACTGTACAACTAAACAGCATAGAATAGCAGAAAGAAAATACCAATAGCCTGAATGAGACACACTCTTCTAAATATAGACTTTACAAAACTGTTGACTTCTAAGTTCATAGGACTCATTTCCATTGCTTCTCAGTGGTTCTTTTTCATCTGCCATGTCACGGTCTTTCATTTGTGCAAAATAGGCAGGAGAGGCTTTGCTTTCATAATGCCTATCAAGAGACTTCAGGTGGATCAACATATGGAGAGCATAGGCCAGGACTAGAAGCAGAATCAGTGACATAATCAAGCCCATCAGAATTGCTGGTGAAAAAAAGGATGCACAATCTTTGGCATAAGCAAACTGTCCTCCTTCAATGTTAAAGCCTTGAATCTGTTAAGAGAGTAAAAGGATTTATATTAAAAATCCTCACTTTCTTGGTTAGGGGACAGTTCATGATTTTGCTCCTCCTGCTAAGTAAGAATTTTTAAGCCAATGTTTGCATATCAAAAAAATGTATCTAGCAGCACTGGTTGGATTTGATTCACTCAGTTTATTCAGGTCAATGTTTTAGAAACAGTCAATAATTCTAATCCCCTTGGCTTTGGGGCCCAAAGGATTTGCAGTTTGATTTTAAACAAAATCTTCGGTGATCACTTTTGAGAGCCAAGTCAAATTTAACTATAAGCTTGATCACTCTGGTTTACATTGTTTTGAAGGAGTCAATAGTTTCCCTGTTTCTGATTATACAAACATGGACACAGGTATCCAAAAAATGACCAAGAAAACACTGACAGTTGCCTACCTCTAATAATTAGATGGTGGGACCAGATTCAGTCCCTTGTGTATGTGGATGCAACTCCACTGAAATAAGCAGTTTTGCATTCACATCTGGTCTGAATTTGGCCCACAGACTATAAATTTCACCTATGGCTGCAAACAAGTGAGAGTTACTTTAACTCTAGGATGAAGTAAATCTGCTGTGCAGTCGTGCATAGAGAAGACGGATGGGATTGGCGGCCTGTCTCAGATTGCTCTGGAGTTTTAAAGACTTTCCCCTCTTTTGTAGCTACCCTCATCTTCCTCCTCTTACCCATCCTCTATTTATTTTGCTCCTCTCTAGCTGAAGGGTCCATTCCTGGGTGAGCTGTTAGCCTTGGCCTCTATCTCCCCTAATTCTGGCCTCTAACCCCCCTAAAGATAAGGAGATGAGGTCAATGACTGTTGTAAAAAATCCGCCTTGACTGACCTCAGAAACGGACCCAGGTGTGATCTATTCACAGAATGTTGGGCTATGGAACACTTAACTTTCTTTCCCAGCTGACTGACGGTCAGCTGGAGCTGCAGGCCCTATGCAAGGACAACTGGACTCTTGCTGACAGTGCTCAATGAAGGCTCTACTGAAGCTGGTCTTAAGAGCCCAATTGCCAAATACACAAAGAATCATTTGTCAACAAAGATACAGAGATGTAGAGCAGAAGGTGACACTCCTATGTGTTGTGCTGACATATATCCCTAAGAAGAAATTAGATACCAAACCGGTGCAGCCCTTCATCTCCCTTAACATGAAGTTAAGTACAAGACTTTAAATCTTCTTTTCTGTTCAATTTCTACTCCTTGATCCATCTCTGGAGATCCTATAAACTGCTTATAGTATGTCATTGTTTTCTTGGCACCAAGGCCTAGAGGTGCCAGTCAGCACACCTGTGACATTTTCTTGGCTTAACTTCATCTTATTACCTGGAAATCGATAAAAGTGACTTCCCAGAGCCTGGACACATCGTTTGCGGAGCTGGGCATCAGGAGTGCATCATACCTCTGCAAGCTGCTCACATGTTCACAGTGATAGGAATAACTTGCTGGAGCATATATTCTGGTTGCATTAAATGTTGCTTGCACAGAATGGTTGTAAAGCAGCTGTATTCTGTATAAACTAAACCAGTTCTGAACAGACAGCTTGTAATAACTGTTTGTCAATAAAAATCTGAAAATAATTTTTTTAAAAAGAGAGAATTAGTAAAGTTGCAAAAGTGAGGGCATATACTGTTGAATCCAGCATGTAGAACAGCCATACAGGATTCATTGAAGTCGACAGATCTATGCCAATTTACACTACAGAAGGATCTGGCTCTTTCTGCTGCTATATGGGAGACCTGAGTCTGGAAAATAATTTTTGATTCCTTCTTGCTGCAGCTGAAGAAGATCATTGGTCACACAGGACTGGTCCCAGGCTGGGCAAGGGAGTCACAAAAATCCTGAGCATCTTCTGACTGCCTAATTATGGAACAGCACTAGAAGAATATCATCCATTCTGCTTCCCTCCCTGCTGTTACAGATCACATGCTGCCCAGGTAGATGACTGATAAGAGGCAAACTGGCAGAGGAAAACAAAGTAAAAATAGATGGAAGAAATTCCACTGGTTAAAAAACTTAACTCAGCCAAGCAATGGGTAAATTAGAAAACATCATATTGCCACTAGCTTGTGCTCCCATGTAAATATAGTTTTCCAGACCACATGTAGGTGAGCTCTGAGATAGAGGCCAGGCTTCAGGGAGATAGCACTATGGATTAGTGGTTTGGAAGAGGAACAGGGAGCTGGGGAGAAGCCAGCTGGATGAAAAGCTCAAGCCCAGGTGGACACCAGTAAGTTAATGTGTTTGGTTTTGTTTGAGGGTATTTGAGTTCTGCTGTGTAAACTGGGGAGAAACCTGCTACTCTGAAAGAAGAATAGGATTGAAGAGGAGCCCAGGAGGGGCTGGAGACATTGTATGGATGAGTAGAATTTGCTGAACACTGTCTATTTTGGGGACACTGACTGAGGTGAAAGTAAGCTGATACGGTCCGGTACGGCGTACCAGCAAGAGCCAGTACGCCATGCCGGATCAGACCAGCTTCCCCAGGCTGGCGATTTAAAGAGCCCGGGGCTCCCTGTAGCGGCCGGAGCCCTGGGCCCTTTAAATCGCCGCCCAAGCCCCACTGCCAGAGCCCCGGGGTAGCGGCAGCAGGGCTCGGGCAGTGATTTAAAGGGCCCAGGGCTCCCCACAGCAGCCGGAGCCCTGGGCCATTTAAAGTGCTGCCCAAGCCCCACTGCTGGAGCCCTGGGGTAGCAGCGGCAGGGCTCCATCGGTGATTTAAAGGGCCCGGAACTCTGCTGCGATAGCGGCGGCTGGAGCCCCGGGCCCTTTAAAATCGCCCCGGATCTCCCAGTCACCTCTGCAGCTGGTAGCTCCGGGGGTGATTTAAAGGCCCCAGGGCTCCCAGCCACAGCCGGAACCCCTGGGCCTTTAAATCTTGATTTAAAGGGCCCGGGTATTTAAAAGCCATGCCTCTTCCGGTTGAGGCCACGCCCCCTGTTCAGGACTCCAGCGTACTGGTAAGTCCTTTAAGTTACTTTCAGCCCTGGACACTGATACTCTGGAAGGGTTGAGGCTGTAGATGACCTGGCTGGAGGGCTGAGTCACAAGAAGCAGTGGACCATCAGGAGGCCTACCTAGATGAGGGGAGCCTGAGGTGCAGCAGTGAGGCCACTCATCTAAAAAAAAAATAGGGGGGAAAAAAATAAAACAAAAAGAAAATGTATTTAAATAGGCAAACTCCATTAAATATAATTGTCTGCTTTATACTTCACTATATAATTAACAAATCTGACTCACAACCCTTGTTGATACATAATCCTTCTCGCAGTTAATTTCCCAGACAACTTGCATTGCAAGTCATTCAGTAGATATTATCGTTTGACAATCTAATAAGTGTCTTTATCCTTATCTTGTAAACCTACCTAATAACAAGCCCCTTGAGGTTGTCCATGTCACCAAACTTAAGTGAAAGCCTAGATCAAAAAGAAAACAATGTCAAGTTGAAATGGAAATCAAAAGAAAAAAAAAAACTGACATTCATCAAAAGAGCAAAACATGATTACAAAAGACAGTATTTTGAGGCTTTATTCCAATCCCACTGCAGTCAATGAAAAGATTTCAGGGATGAAATCCTGGTCCCAATAAAGTCAATGAGGATTTTGCTGTTGCCTTGAGAGGGGTCTGGATTTCACACCAGGAAAGCACTTAACTTTAAGCGTGTAGTTAAATCCCATTGACTTCAACATCAGTGTACCTAAAGCATAGTCAGATGAGATATATGTGCTCCTTCACAAATCTATACATATTTATAAGGCATCTATCACCTTGGTATCTCAGATAAAAGTATTTAATTAATGCAATAATATAACCCATTCTTTGTCTCATAGACCCTGCTAGAGCATTAGAAATCCATATGATAGCTGAGTTCAAAGTGTTGCATTTATACAACATCACTGAATCAGTTTAAAGATGTTGATTGTAGCAGAGCTCGATCCAGCTTATTGTCCAGTCAGTGAGGACAGCTGTGGCTTACCACAGTAAGAAGCATTGTTAGGTCAATTTTAAAATAGAGCCTTAAAATCAGTATGATTATGTAAATATTGCTCCAAGTACCATCTTTCTACTTTCTCACAAGCTAACAGATCCATCATTTCATTACTCTGTGGCATACAGATTTTTTATTTAATGATACCATTTTGCATCTTAGAAACCATCTGTGTAATTGACTCTCATATCTAAGATTAGATATTGTTACAAAATGAATTATCATGCATACACTTACGTCACTTTAGAACTTAAGGTGGAGGAAAATTAAAAGCATGATTAGTCAGACAATTTAATACCGGCTCAAGACTGGATGGGTTTCAAGTGCAGAACTAATTTCTTCAACGCTCACTTAACTCACTATCCCGAAATTGGGTCCAGTGAGCAAGGAGGAGGATTTCAGACCCTCACTTGCTTAAATTATGCCAAAATCAGACATAAATTGTGCCGATCTGGTTATACCACACAGCCGAACCTCACATTAAATTCAGTGCCTGGGACAGGACTCTGTGCATACAATAATCTACCTCTGTGTTTGTGTTACACATATAGTAAGTCCAGACACATAAGAAGCCAAATCCTCGGTTATAGGTCCAGCTGCTTTGTGCTGATCTAAAGGCAGATCAGAAGATTCTCTTAACAAAGTAGGGATATAAGAGCCTGGCTAGAATGGGAGGGGATGAGGTGGAATACAAAGAACTCTGCCTTATCTGCAGCCTGCAAAATTTAGAGCAGCCCTTAGGCCCAAAATCAGAGGAGCAGAAAGGGAGCTTCCACCCTTTCCCCTGTTCTCCTCAGCAGCACCAAGTGGAAACAATGCATCTCAGGATCTGGCCTGAGGTTTCTATTTGGCAATTCCTGTGAGGCTAATCCTGATTCAGGAGTCTGATTATCTATTTTCCTCTCTGCACAGCATGGATTTCCACATGCAGGGAATTGGGTTAATACTTAAAGACTGACAGAAGCACATGGACCAAAAAGGCTTTCTGTTAGTATATAGCAGGACTCCAGCAGAGTTTCCAAGGATTTGGTCAGAAAGGTTACATAACGCTTTGACATACATCTCCTAATACTGGCTAGAATAAAGTGATTTTTTTTCTTGATTTAGACAATAGCCAACACTAACAGGATACAATCTTGTAAAGTTTATCTCCTGGCCCTTTCCAGCAGGTTTTTCCATGAGATCTGAGGCAGAAGGCTCTCTATTCTAGTAGCCTATTGTTATTTTATTTGTTGACCAGTAAATTTTCCCAAATATTTTTATTTTATAACAACAAATGACTTTAAACTGGCCTTACAATCCAGGTTTGTTGTGAGAATAAATACACTAACAACTGTGAAGCACCCAGGCACTAAGGCAAGAGGAACAATATAAGTACTGATAGAAAGTTTCAGGATTTTGTTTTGTATTTCTCTCCTTAGTCACTGTAAAGTGAGACCAGCTATTTTGATTCCATTTGAAAATGTTGAACACGTGAATTATTTTAAATCACTGATTTTTTTTGAAGTACTATGTACAACTGTAAAACTGTGCATTGCCTTTCAAACCGTTTCACATTTGTGCAGTTTTCTAGTGGGATACGGTTTTTACTGAAATGTTCCACGTACATTAGGAGGTTTCTAGCTCTGCACTAGCAGACAGGCTTATTGTTTTGAAATGTATCACTTCTTTTATTATGAAAACTAACATTATTTCTTCCTCATTTCCCTTTCCCCTCCACAATACAGCTCATTCATGAGTCAGATTCTGATTATTTAGAACAGCAACTGGCTTTCAGCACAGTTATGCATCCTCTACTCAATAGCATACGTGGATTTTGCTGTATTAATTTGGCACTTGTTGAAAACTGAATTATTTCAGCTACCGTGGCCCAGTGGTGAGGGCACTCAGGAAAGGTGGATTCAATTCCTTGTTCTGCCATTGGCCTGCTGGGTGACCGCAAGTCACCTCTCTGTGCCTCAGGTTCCCATTTGTAAAATGGGGACAATTACTCTTACCTTTTTTGTAAAGTGCTTTGAGCTCTACAACTGGAAAGTGCTATATAGCAGCTAAGTAGTAATATTACTGCTGTGTGGCATCATATAGCCACATACAGCTTTACTTGCCTTTGCTTATTAAAGGCGTGATTCTTCTACCCTTATGCTGAATAGCATTTTACACAATGGTGCAATCCGATAGACTTCAATAGGACTATGTGTGGACTAAGGGACTACTCCATGTGAGTAAATGTCACAGATTAAGGGTTGAATTATGGCCAGACCTTACATAATCACCCTCTACCACCCTTGCACAGCCAGTATAAAGGCTGCTGAGAATCACAGTCCCTGCACTCAAGGCAGCTCCCCACCCTGGCCAGCCACTTTCCAAAAAGGGCATGGGGAGAGGGCAGAGTATATGGGGTGAGGACTCAACCCCCACAAGCAGAGCTGGCCGGCCACACAAGAAAGAGGATGCCAGCCACCCCCTTAAAGGGTTAAAGAATATGAGTCTTTCCCCCAGTTAACTGGGGGAATTCTTAGGAGGCATTGTGCCACTGGAGCATTGTAGCTCCATCCCACATTACAATAGGCTTTGCCCCAATGATTAACTAGCATCCCCGCCAGTGCCTGACGCCACCATGGAGTAGGATGTAGTCTTACATTGCACTGTCTTCACTGCAGTTGGAATCTCCAACATCCACGGTTGCATGAACGCCAAATGTCTTCTCTGTCAAGTCCAGCTGTGTATGATTTTTAAATTTAATCGTTATCCTCCTTGCCCAGAAAAGAATGCAGGGACTTCCATTAACGGTGACATTCACAGGGCTGTGTGGCAATGTCCTCCAAGAGTCTCTTTCTGATTGTCCTTTTCTGCTCAAGTTGTAACTGACCACCTAATAAACCACATAAAAGATTGTTATTGCAGGAACTACTTTCCACATCACATAACGAACAGAATGAACCCAATGGGTCCAGTCCTCAGCTGCAATGAGCTCATGCTCAGTGCTACTCAGCTGGGGAGACAAAGATGGTTCTACCCACCATTTCCATCTCCTCCAATCCTGGGGATGGCAGAGGTCCACGCACACACAAGCATAGCCAGAGAGCTGATGTAACTTACATTGACTGTAATAGCCTTCTAGGGACTGGACCAGGAGCACTGAGGCACAGTACACTCCCACCCCTGCCCCTCCTAGCCATCTCCAACCCAGCACAGAACACCCCCTACATGAAGGCATGTAGCAAAGTTGGCATAACCAGTTGTACACCGAAAGGGGATTCCCCTACAACAGGAGACTTCCCAGCTGCACCTTTAGAGCAGTTTTAAGCCCCCTTTGTTCTGCTGGAGCATTGCAAAAGGGATTTAGCTTGGGCCAAGGATCAGGCTCTACATGCTGAAAGTACTGTACAAATATTAGCCAGTTTAACAAGGGAAGCAAATGAGGCCGCATGTGTGTAACTGGGAGCAGAATTTGGCCCAATATTGTTTTTAAACAAATGCAAATTTTTAGATAACTTCTACATAGGACCACGGTCAGAGTTAAGGCTCCTTTGTAAAATTATTAGTTTATATGTTTAAAATAGGGAGTGTTGCATTTTGTCTCGAAGTCAGGACATTGACTACAGGTACTAGAAAGATACTGAACCCTCATGGTCAACTTTCACAGTCAAGCAAAGCTCCCATGGAAATGCCTATAAACAAATAAAAATGTCAGTGAGTAAAGATTTCAGTATTTAGCTCTAACTCTTAGTTTTTGCTCAACATTTCAGACAGACAATGAGAATTTTTTCCAGTGTGCAGACCTGCCATATCTGATAATATAGCTGTAATTTCCATGGAGCTGCATCTGTGTAACTGAGAATGGAATTTATCCACTAGGTCTTGTTCATATGAGACAAGTATTGTGTGTCCCAATCACACATACCATTTTATCAGACTGGATAGCTACAGTTAAGCAACAAAGTCTTGTCTTGACTAGTAAGTTTAGCATACCAACTCTCCTAGCAGCTCCTAAAAGACTCCCATGCTACTTGGTCTGACACATGGCACAACAAGACCGCTTGAGTGTTGTGATTTAAAACAAGTAGATGTTTGCAGAAGACCAGGAGAAAACTTACAAAACAATCACCAACAAATATAATTGATTACTATATTATTATGACATTATCTCGAGGAAAAGATAAACCTGTCCATCTTCCCTGTTACAATGCAGAACAGTTACCCATTAGCTCACTTAGGTTAAATTGCAACATTTGCAGGATTCCTGACATGTAAACCTTATTTTCATAGGCGTGTATCTTTGGGACAAGTCCTATGTCCTTAATCAGGCAAAAGGCCCATTGAATTTAATAAACCAACAGTTTTCCCCTCAGTTTGATATTCAGCACCAAGTCATACAAGCAAATTCCTGCATCCCCTGCTCAGTGCCTCTAGATAGGTGTCAATACTCTGAACTCTCATTAACTTCCAATGGATGTCGACTCAGAACCTGCCAGGAACTAATCAGCAACTAGCAGGATCAAGTCATTACGAGGAATATCTGACTCGAGTGTGGGAAATCAGTATTGTACCACAATAATTAGACAAGGTTGATTGTTATCTCATGAAAATAATAATTAAAATACAATTAATTATGCCATGAAAGAACTTACAATCAGTTTTCTGATACCTCCATACCTGTGTAATTGCTATTTGTTTTAAGTTACGTTTTGGCTTCACACCACCCTCATAACGTCGGTCTACAGAAGAAAGAGATTTATGAGTATAAATGGAAAACAACTGATACTTTAAGATGCATGATGCTGCATGTTCTCTTGCAAAGATGGACCTACAGCCAATGCACCTTTATGAGGGCTCTATTGATTTATGAAATATATTTCAGTTTGGTGCAAAAAACACTCATACACTGAGCTCATCTTTGCCCATCACAAAGCAATTTTCTAGCAAATTTTACCATTGTGGTACATCTTTTTTTTTCCCTTCCTTTTAGAGACAAATCCTGCAGCCCTTATTCAGGTAAAACGCCAGTGGAAAAGAACTTCAGGGTTTAACCCGTGGTGCTGTAAATTCATCCACCTTCCATCCACTTAAAAGGGGCTCCTTCTTTCTTCATGCTTTGGACCACATTTTCAAAGGAGGGTGCACAGAAGGAACCTGCCCGAGCCTGCATGCCCAAATGGGGGTTTTCATGCCGGTTGTATAAAGGTACACATGAACTGTAGGCGAGAAAGCAATTACTTGATATATTTGCACAAATGCAAGGTTTTGTGGGGAAAACACAATGATGTTAGTCTGTGTGTACACTCCCATTGCAGCATCCTTTGAATATTTGGCCCTGTATGTTTTCAATTGATGCCAAAAATGTAATATTTTATTTCACTTTGTTTTTATCAAGTTTACACCCATTGCTCTGGGGAAATCCATACAGTTTTTATTTTAACAGGGCTAATTGTTTAATTTAGAATATTTAAGGAGGATTGCACTATGGAGGGTGTATAATACTCTCATTCCTTGGCAGAGCTCTCAATGACTTCAATGGAAATTGTGTGTGGGATTCAAGGGCATACTTTGCGGCTCACCGAGACAATATCAGTGCATTCAGATTCATTTAAAAGACTTACCATTTCTTTGGGGCAGCTCTTGGTATGAAAATGCATGTGAACTGAAACAGAGGAGACAGAGAAAAATCTGTATTGTACAATTGTGTATTTAACATTTAAACCAAGCTTGCTGAGGAGAGTTCCACTTTGTAATGTTTCGTTCAACAGTTGTGCATTCACATGCAAAACAGCCAAAAGCCAGTGTACCCAGGAATGACAGTCATCCCAATATCGGAGGCTCTTTTGATGTAGAGCAAGCTCCTAATAGCCATCCCATCCCTACTGACAGAACAGAAGCTGTGGCCAAGGGAAAGGTTAGGGTTCCCCCCCATCCTCCCCAATGACCCTAGCTTTCTGTATCGGCACATAGGGGATACTGTCAGCTATTTTAATTTAGACCAATCTTCAGATTCCTCCAAATTACAGTGGGGGACTGACCAGTTCACAGCCAGCCCAAGAGCAAGGGGGAACAAAGCCAGCGCTGTGCACTCCTGAGCTGCAGGTAAAGATCGGCATCAGCACATTTAGGAAAATATACAATCCCTAAAATACTTTTTCCTACTTCAGGAAAGAGCAGACATAATCCCCCAGATATACGGCTGTTCAAAGGAACAATCATTCAAGGTGCCAAACATCCTCAATTCCCACTGAAGTCAATAGGCAAGGTGCTTGTTAAGAAAAGCTCAAGAAAACATTGAGTGAATGCCTGCCTAAAACTATTGTCAGTGTCCTGAAATTTACAACCTGTGATTAGCCTCTTACAACATTTAGGCCCAGACACTGAGTGCAGGAGGCGACCGCCTAGCACCAGAATTTGGGGGGGCGGCAATTCAGTGGCGGGGGGTCCTTCCGCACTCCAGGTCTTCGGCGGCAATTCTGCGGTGGGTCCTTCACTCGCTCCAGGACCCGCCGCTGAAGTGCCCCAAAGACCGGGAGCGCGGAAGGACCCCCCGCCGCAGAATTGTTGACGACGACCGGGAGCACAGAAGGACCCCCGCCTAGGGCGCCAAAAACCCTGGCGCTGCTCCTGACTGAGTGGGTTTCAACTGGTGCAGCTTTATTGTGGTCAGTGGATCTGTGTCAATTTATACCAGCTGATGATTTGGCCTGTAGGATCAAATCTTTTACAATGGCCAAAGCCCAAGCAAACAGGCTTTGTGCAGGTTTGCTTCATAGTGTATGGAGTGGAATCATCCCTCTCAATCCCATGGACACAAGTGTAGACACTCCTACACTCTCAGTGCTCTGGTAGCCTCCTCATAAGAGCATAAGAACGGCCGTACCGGGTCAGACCAAAGGTCCATCTAGCCCAGTATCCTGTCTACCGACAGTGGCCAATGCTAGGTGCCCCAGCGGGAGTGGACCTAACAGGCAATGATCAAGTGATCTCTCTCCTGCCATCCATCTCCATCCTCTGACAAACAGAGGCTAGGGACACCATTCCTTACCCATCCTGGTTAATAGCCATTAATGGACTTAACCGCCATGAATTTATCTAGTTCTCTTTTAAACGCTGTTATAGTCCTAGCCTTCACAACCTCCTCAGGTAAGGAGTTCCACAAGTTGACTGTGGAACTCCTCAGGAATTGTGCCTCCCTGTGGTGGATTGATTGGTCGATCTGCTTAGATGCTGATCCTCTGGCTATGTGCCCGTTTCGCCTGAGGCCCACTGCATGCAGGGGGTGATGATCCCCTCGCACCGGCTTTCCACAGCCTGTCCTCCTGGTTTCCTGTGATGTGAAACCACCTCAATTCACCCACATGTGACAGGGGAGGGGCAGAGCAAAAGAGTTGCCCCTTAGCCACTTCATCTGAGAGCATGCATCCATGGGTTGGTTTTTTCCCCTCATGTTTATTAGATTTAAATCCACCGTGCAAGCCAGTTACGAATAAGACATTTCTACAGGCCAGTTTCTTGAATGGTATTAAAATAAGCATGGTAGGTCAGTGTCTTAGCTGCACAATGGCTGGCCAGCTGGTGGATCCAGCCTTTGAGGATTCCTCCTGTATAAGGGGGGATTCCCTGGGCATAGCAACTGTAGGTCACCCCTTATCCCCACCCAGAGCAGGGGTGTTCCCAAGGAAAAGGAGGCATGTCTAGGGTATCCCTATGCCCTGGCGTTCCCTGGCTGCCAGAACAATCACTTGGGGCGAATGGCAGCAAGGCCTGAACTAAAACAATATATTCTAACTTATGCTGAGGGCCACCTCCAGGTTTGGAGGAGCATAAAGGTGTCTTAAAGCCACCTTTGCAGCACCTCCCCTCCTGCTCTTGTGCCAAGCCCAGCTCAGGCAGATCAGAAAATCCAGCTACATTCCCGATGGTAAAACTTCTAGGGTGCCTAACTATGCACCTCAGTGGAGCCAGGATTTTTCATCCTTAATGTTTGTTAAGGAGGCTTTGTCTTTATACCTGTTCCTCCCCAATGAGTGTGTGTATTTTCAGGCATACTCTGTGCAACATGGAATAAAAACATTGTATTCATTTCCAAAATCCTCAAACCCAGAAAGCAAAACTGAACAAACTAGAGTGGATTCTGTATTCCAGCTTTGTCCCTAACTACAAGGACTGGTGACGAGCTTTGCTCCAACCACTGTGCAGACTACGCTCTGCTGCAACAGGAGGCAGCAACAAAACAGCAGCCATTCTTCTCAGAAACTGTAATAAACCAAGTAGAAAAGCCAGTTAAGCTTCTCCTGCTCCAAGACTGAGACTCTAATTAGGGCTGGGAGAACCTTAAAAGGTTCTACATTCCAATCCAGTTCAATGTAGATAAGTACCATGCTCCTTCTTAAAATTCACCCTAGATACACCGCTACCTCGATATAACGCAACCCGATATAACATGAATTCGGATAGAACGTGGTAAAGCAGTGCTCCCAGGGGGCGGGGCTGCACACTCCGGTGGATCAAAACAAGTTCAATAGAACACAGTTTCACCTATAATGCGGTAAGATTTTTTGGCTCCTGAGGACAGCGTTATATCGAGGTAGAGGTGTAGTTTTAATTAGATACCATGAGCCAAATTCTGCTCTTAGTCACACGTCCAATCCCACTGACTTCAGTATGGTTGCACACTTTCAAGAAAGAGCACAATTTGGCCCACTATTCTTCACTTGCTATTCTACACTCTGTTTAATAGTGCTCAACAACATTAACCTAATGTCCATGTTTCACACCAGAGGTGAGCGTATTTCAGTAGGTGGTGAAATTATTCTTGTCCTATAATTAACCAAAGGTTGGTTAGATCCCTTGAAAGTACTGGGCACTGTGCATGACCTCACTCTTCCCCCTCTTTTGGCATCTTGGTCCACAGAGGAGCAGGAGCAAGCGTTTTACTGTACTCTCCAGAGTGCAGAGACTGCTATTGTGGGAGACTCTTGCAGAGCTACATAAGGATAGGGGGAATTTCTTACATTGGCCTACACACAGGCTGGTGATATGTCTGACTGATAAATGCAGTAGGGCCAGACCATCAGGCTCCAACTTTTCTAAAAGTTCGGTTTGATGAAAGAAAATAGCCCTAAATCTCACACATTGTTGGTTTGTCATGAGAAAAGACTGGGGTGGGCCAAATCCCGGATTGTTTCCTCTCTTTTTAGTCAGTGGTTACTAAGGTAAAACTCCCACTCAAGTCAATAAAGGAGTCGGAACATGGACTTAAGGATTTGACATATTTTTATTTTCTAGCATTCTAACATAGAACATTGTATCTTGTAGCAACAGCAATGCAAGGGTTATTGACATTTTTCATGGTAATGTATATAAAAATGAGGGGAGGGGAGAAAACCCAAAAATAGGCATGCCAAAAACTTAAAGGCAAATGACTTAACATATAGTTATTTTACTGAACATAAAATTAAAAGTTCTAGGCTCAGTTTCTATTCAGACTAAACACTTTAATGCAAGGTTGCAAAATTCAATTCATTCCATCATATAGTGGGAGCATTTTTTTAATGGACTAGTAAAATATCATCTGCCCCTCCACTTCCCCAGAAGTCTCCCATCCCAAATAGGGCTAAAATGAAGACTGTGTCAAGTAAAAAATGAATACATCTCTGAGGAAGACTAACAATTCATAGATTCATAGATTCATAGATTCTAGGACTGGAAGGGACCTCGAGAGGTCATCGAGTCCAGTCCCCTGCCCTCATGGCAGGACCAGATAATGTCTAGACCATCCCTGATAGACATTTATCTAACATACTCTTAAATATCTCCCGAGATGGAGATTCCACAACCTCCCAACGTGACGTAAAGTACTACACACACGCCTGGTTTTGCAGCCCTGATGCATGGGAATAGCATCACTGCATTCAGCAGGCCTTGTGTGAGAAAGGATTACTTGCTGGAGTATGCACTACATATCTAGGTGGTAGGATTTGCAAGGTAGGCTGTAAATCATCTTGCACTGATGCCTTCTGGGCAAATCACAGGCAAAACCTATACCACCGCTGAAGGAAACAACATTATGGAACCATTCAAAATGCTGTTCATCTTTGATCTTTGTCATATCAATCTGTCTCTCTCTCAATCTGACCTGTCATCTTTGACTCTTTCAGCCAGGCCCCCTTCTGCCCCAATACATCCCCTAAGCCAGTGGCTAGGGAAAATATAAAATATGCTGGAAGTAGTCAGGTGTACCTTAGCGTCATAGCAACCGTCAACACTGACTGGTTGGAATTCTAGATCAGGAAGCCAATATCACTATAGAAAAGCCAGCACTTGAATTTGCTGAGTAAGCAGACTCTTTAATTCATAAACAAAGGCAACTGGATTCATTGTTTTCCCTAACCATGCATTTTCCCAAATGCCTTTGCACTAGAATACTGCAAAAAAAAAGTCTCCATGAACCTCCATTAGAATTCCTAATGGTAACCCCACTGGCTGTGCTCATGCCCTTCTTGTGTTTACTTTCTAAAAATATTCCAGCCAATGAGTTTACTGGCAGGAATTCATAGATTCATAGATTCTAGGACTGGAAGGGACCTCGAGAGGTCATCGAGTCCAGTCCCCTGCCCGCATGGCAGGACCAAATACTGTCTAGACCATCCCTGATAG